CTTCGTGCCTGAGGCCGTGTCCGACGGAGGGCCTGTGCTCGGCAGCTCGTCATGAAGGCGCCGAACGAGCTCGCCGTGTTCTCCGTCGGCCTGCTCCAGGTCGCTGCGCAAGACCAGAACTTGGTTCCTCTGCGCCGCGAGCTGAGCCTCCAGCATCTCGAACTTGCTGGCGGCACTCTCCAGCTTCTTCTCGATGGCTCGGGCCTTCTGGTGAGCCTTGTTGAGACGGGCCTGCACCGAGACCGATGCTGGAGCGGGCGCCGACAGGGCCGCAGCCGCGGTGCGGTGCGCAGCTGCTGCCCGAGAGTCGCCCATCTTGTCGTGCAGGGATGCCAGCTGCAGGTATTCGTCAGCAGAGAGCTTCGGAGCACCAGCAGCAGGCGGTGCGTCAGCAACTCCTTTGCCTGAGCCAGAAACGCCCTTCTCGCCACTCTTCCCAGAGGAGTTGGGGCCGTCACCGAACATGGCAAGAGCTTTGCCAGACGACCAGGCCGAACCATACTGGACGGAGTCGCGCTTGAGCTGACCGCAGTGCTTGCAGAAGAAGAACCTGGCCTCATTCTTCTTGCAACCGCAGATACTGCATGTCCATCTCTTGGACGCGGACAAATGACCATGATGCCCAGCACCACCAGAAGGAGAGCCTTGTGGGCCAGGGACCAGAAGGGGGCCACACTTGGTCACGCTTAGCGGCCGACGAAGGCGATGCCCACGAGCGGTGCCACGGAGCCCACGAGATGCGCCCATGCCCGCCAGCGCCTCCTCCTGCCATCGAACAGTATGAGTCGTGGTAAGCGAGTAGCTCCCAAGCAGCGGAAATGAAAGACTGCGGGTTGAGATCCCGCGAACTGCGAAAGAGAAAGCCACAATGGCCCGCAACAGCTGTGTGCCGTTCTGAATCTAAGCTGCTGCAAGCACAGGCAAATGCCTGAGCCAGAACGGCTAGTAGTAGTAGTAGTAGTAGTAATAGTAGTAGTAGTAGTAGTAGTAGTAGTGGTAGTAGTAGTAGTAGTAGTAGTAGTAATAGTAGTAGTAGTAGTAGTAGTAGTAGTAGTAGTAGTAGTAGTAGTAGTAGTAGTAGTAGTAGTAGTAGTAGTAGTAGTCGTAGTCGTAGTAGTAGTAGCAGTAGTAGCAGTAGCATTAGTAGTAATAGTAGTCATAGTAGTAGTAGTAGTAGTAGTAGTAGTAGTAGTAGTAGTAGTAGTAGTAGTACTAGTACTAGTACTAGTACTAGTACTAGTAGTAGTAGTAGTAGTAGTAGTAGTAGTAGTAGTAGTAGTAGTAGTCGTAGTCGTAGTAGTAGTAGTAGTAGTAGTAGTAATACTTGATTACTAATGAAACTACTAGTAATATGAATACTTTACTAACCCTTGCAAGTCTTTAAGAAGCCCCCCCCCCCCGGGTTATCGTTAGCACCGCACAAAGATGTAACATTTTCAGGGGGTCGTTTTCGCAAAGCGATATCTTTAGCACCTCGCACAAATCAAACAACAAAATTCGGTGGCGCGTGGCGCGCCGCGCGACGCGCAAAAAGAAATCCTTGGGGATGCCTTTGAATCTGCTGTGAAGTCTTAGCAGCGCTCAGCGGCGCTCAGCAGGGGCTAGCAAGGCTTGGCATGGGCTTGGCAGGGCGCAGCAGGGGGCGAGCCTGGCTCATCATTGCTTAGCAGGGCTTAGCGGGAGCTAGAAGGGCTCAGCAAGGCTTAGCTTGGCCCCGAGCGCTTTCTGCGGGCTCCTCCGGTGCCGAGGTAACGCTTCCAGGGTGCCGGATGCGTTATACGTTCACTGGATGGGGGGCGGTTCTTAATGGTTCGATGCGGTTGTTACCATTTATATTATTATTGATAATATTGAAATTGTCATTCGTATTCTTACTACTCTTATTACTATTATTCCTCCTCCTCCTCCTCCTCCTCCTCCTCCTCTCCTCCTCCTCCTCCTCCTCCTCCTCCTATTCCTACCCCTCCTCCTCTTCCTCTCCTCCTCCTCCTTCTCCTCCTCCTCTTCTCCTCTCCTCCTCCTCCTCCTCCTCCTCCTCCTCCTCCTCCTCCTCCTCCTCCTCCTCCATCTCCTCATCCTCCTCCTACCGCTAGCAACGGCGACGGCGACGACGACACCGACGGCGACGGCGACGGCAACGACGACGAAGACGACGACGACGACGACGACGGATGCAACGGCCGGCCCCCCCCGCGCGCGCGCAAGCGCCTCGCAAAGCACGCCGTCGCAGGCGCCCAATACCGCCTCTGGGCCGCTAACGCGTCGAAGGGGAGGGGGCAGGGAGGTGTCGGGGATCGAGGCGGAAGAATCGAGGGATGGGCACCGAGGATCGAGGGGCGTCGAATCGAGGAGGGAGAATCAAGGCGGGGGCCTCGAGGATCGAAGAGGGACTGGGAAGGGATCGAGGGGGATCGATGGAGAGGTCGAGGGGCCTCGGGGGGCGGTCGGCGGAGGAGAGGGGGTGGGGCGAGGAGCATCAAGGGGCCGGGGGGGGGGTCGCAGGGGAGTCCTTCGCTATGTTTGTGCATCGGGAAGAGGAAGAGGCTCTCGTCCTCACGTCCAGAACCGCCTCGAAGTTCTGACCAGAGCACAGCTCTGGTCAGAACACAGCGCAGCTGTACAAGAGTGATTCCCGTGCACAGAGGATCCAGGAGAGGCGAGGAGGACGGAAGCCTCCTCGAGGCAGGGTTCCTGATGTTGGTCAACTGCTTGTTTTTTTTTAAGGGGGGGGCGCCTCCCAGGGCGCCCCCGTCGCCAAGGCTGAGTCCGCCCCAAGAATGGTGGGAAACGGCGCGCCACGGGAGATCTCCGGGCGGCGATTCTGAGGGTATCACGGAGATCCGATGCGTGGCCACCGATGTCTCGACCCGCTCCCCGGGGCCACCTCTTCATCCTGCCTCACCCAGCTTTGTCGGCCCTGGGGCCCAGCGAGGGCCCCCTGAGGCCGAAAAAAGGGAAACACATCCGCGCACCGGGGCCTGTTTTGTCGATGGTCTGTTCGGGTTTCTGGAACGGCGGCCGGGGCGATGGCGTTTGAGCCAGTATGCACAGACAATTGAAAACATCAGAATAAAAGCCCAACCACAACATCGCAGTCCACGTCCCGAGGTGACGTGCTGCGCGGCAGCGTTTGTCGGCGAACGCCTTACTGCAACGTATCCAATGTATCATATGTATCCAATGTATCCAATGATTGCATAATTGCCACATATTGCATTGTGTTACACTATTATGTCTCCTGGGAGCCGCGCCGCAGGAACGGACCAAAATGATCGGCCCTCCTTGCGGGGCCCCAAACCGACAAAAACCTGGGGACCCCAAGAGTGCCTCAAGATGGCCCAAGATGGCCCCAAGACGGCCCAAAACGGCCCCAAGGCGGCCCAAGATATTCCCAACGGGGGCCCATGAGGCCCCCAAGACGGCCCCAAGAGGGCCCCAAATGCCCCAAGGACGGCCCAAGAGGGCCCCAAGAGCGCCCACAACTGCGCCCCCACAGGCCGAAATCATTGATTTCCAATGGTTTGTGCGATAGTTTGGCGTTCTCGCCTTTTCGACTCTCAAAAATCCATGACGGCCCAAGCAGCTTCCAGAATCGCCCCAGAACAACCCAAAAAGCTTCCAAGAGGGCCCTAAGACGGCCCAAGAGGGCCCCAACACGGCCCAAAGAGGCCCCCAAGACGGCCCAAGAGGCCGCGAAGACGGCCCAAGAGGACCCCAGAAGGGCTCCAATGCGGCCGCGAGAGGCCCCCAAGACAGCCTCCGCGGGGGCGAAACGGTGCAAAAGCGCCCCAAGACGGCCCAAGACGCCCCCAAGAGGCCCCAAGAGGCCCCCGAGAAGCCTCCAATAAGTCCCCCAGAAGCCTCCAAAAGGCCCCCAAGAAGCCCCCCAAAGGTCACACAGCGACTGGAGTGTAATGTTATTTTCCCCCCTCTGGGCGAACTGCGTCGCAGCGCCAGCCAGGTGGAAGTTGGTCACTGCGGCGCCCATGATTAGAGCTGGCGCTGGAAGAGAAGATGGGGAGGGTGCATGAAAAAGAGAGGGGGGAAAGGCGAAAGGCCCCAAAGAAGCCCCCCAAAACCCAAAAGAAACTCCCAGGAGGCCTCCAGGAGGCCCCCAACAGGCTCCCAAGAGGCCCCGCGACGACATGACTGTACGTGCTCCAGACGTGCACCCCGCGAGGCGAGAGGAATCCCAAATGGCGATTGATGGGGCGGGGGTCCCGCGCGGGAGGGGGGGGCTCGGGCCCCGGGCGGGTTCCGCGACGGAATTCCAGACACCGAAAATGGCGACGCCGTTCGGGGCGTCGGGCCTGGGTGCCGCAGCGGGCCTCCGGACATCGAACATGGCGATGCTCATTGGGAGGCAGGGTCCGGGCTCCGAAACGAGCCTCCAGACACCAAACGTGGCGATGCTATTTGGGAGGCCGGGCCCGGGCCCCGACGCGGGCCTCCAGACGCCAGACGTGGCGGTGAAAAGGATCCGGGCCGCCAGCGTCGTGGCTCTTTTGATGCGCAGGCCCTGAAACGCCCGACCCCGCCCGCAGAGGGGCCGCCGTCTCCCCCAGGGGCCGATCCGCGGCCGAGCGAGGAGAAGGCCGGCCTCCTGATGCCGAGCACGGCGAGAGAGCTCCGCTCTCGCGGGCTCGAGAGCGACGGAGGTCTCGAGGCAAGGGTCGAGGGTTGACACCTGGACCTGCCGGCAGGCGCGCTCCGACTGCGGCGACGAGAGGAGGCCCACCGACGGCAAAAACAAAAAACAAAAAACAAAAAACGAATCACACAACGCCCGCCTGCGGGGCACGCGGGGCGCCGCCGGGCCAGCCTCGGGGCAGGGCGGCGCGCGGGCGGAGCCGGCGGCCCCGCCGATCTCCCGCAGGGGGGGAAACACAGAAAAGTGAACGGCCCGGGGACACCCCGAGATACTCTGCGCGCGCTGGAAGAAGATAACCGGCTGGATAGCCTCGTAAGCCGCGCGCTCCACCTCGACGGCGCCCCAGAAGCTAGAACTCGGACTGCTCGAATTCCAGGACGCCGCGCGCCTTGCTGGCGCCCGCCGGGCTGATGCCGGACATCGGGTTCCCGGGCACCTCCGGCTCGATGACGCCAGCGACAGCGTTGAACGCACCCATCGCCTTCGAGGTCGGCGCGAAAACGACCGCGCGCTCGATGGCCGCGTCGACGGCCGCGCAGTCACACAGGGAGGACACGCCGCTGGCGCCCGCGCTCGCGAGGGCCTCGGCGCGCGACTCGGCGCTGGCCTCGAGCTCCCCGGCGCCAATCTTCGAGCCCAATACAATGGCCCTGCCCACGGCCTTGAGAGCCTGTTTCGCGGTGACCCCTGGGAGCGGCTGGAAGCACCGGCCCGACTTCCAGTCGATCTTCTTCAAGAGCGGTTACGAGGCCTCGGACAGCTCCTTCGCAGCGGCGCCGACCGCGCCCCCCTCGGCCACGATGGCCGGTTTGGCTGGCCTCGACGACATCCTTGAACTCGCGAGAACCAGCGCACGCTACGTCGGCCGCGGAACACTTGGTCCGGGGCTTCACGCACGGCCGCCCCCCCGGGTCGGTAGTGGCGGCGACGGCGTTGCACACATCCATCACGGCATCCTCAGGCACCGAGGCGGTCACGTGGCTGAAAGCGGCCGAAGGCGGCATTCACCTCGTCCCAGGCCTCGCGCGAGGTCACGCCCTTCTTGCTGGCGCCAATGCTGAAGATTGCCTTGTGGTGGGCCTCCGCGGCTCTCTTGTGCAATACGGCATCGGCCTTCGCACCCATCATGATCATGTTCTCGATGGCTTTCGTCGCCCCTTCCGCCTGGAACGACCCAGGGGGGTTCAGGTACATGGGGCTGTAATTACCAGTTCTCGGACTTTGCGAAGTCGTCAGAGGCGTCGCCGAGCTTCTTCGCCGCATCGCCACTGGGGTCCGCAAGCGCCACGGCCAGTGCGAGCCTGGCCACGGCGGCCGCAACGATGGCGGCTGGGGCGCGCACCGGGCTGGGCACGAACGCTTCCTGTCGCAGGAACTGCGTGCCCGCGAGCGCGGCGTCGGCGGCCGAGAGCGTCTTGCCGGAGCGGCCCATGGCGAGAGCTTGCAGGTGTCCTTAACGAGGCACGCCGCGCTAGGCTGGAGTTGCCAAGCCAAGGCAACTTGAGCCAAAGTGGCTACGGACCAACGGAAGAACACGTTGAACACACATAGATCCCAGATCCTCGCACCTCGACCCTTGCCCACGTCGACGACGACGACGCCGACGACGACGACGACGGAGACGGAGACGACGACGGCGACGACGACGACGATTTCGACGACGCCCATGCCGACATCGACGCAGTCGCGGACCACGACCACGACCACGACCGCGACCATGACGCCGCCGCCGCCGCCGCAGACGACGACGACGACGACGACCACCACGACGACCACGACGACAACGGCGGTGGCTGCGGCGGCGCCGCCGCCGCCGCCGCCGCAGACGACGACGACGACGGCGAAAGCGGCGGCCGCGGCAGTGGAGTCGACGCCGGCCAAGAACGCCCCTAGGGGTGCGCGGCGCGCTGGCCGTAAAGAGGTACTCGCCGACGAGCAACGCCACGGCGGCCCCGCAGCCCTCCTGGCGGAGAGGGGGGCGGTTGGCAGTCCGTGCGAAGGGGGGCGGACGGACGCGAAGCCGATGGACCCAGATGGGACGCAGAAAGACATACGAGGTGCTGACGTTGGGGGGACGAAGATTGTAGTATATCGTTTCCCGAGAGGCATGGCGGTCAGTTCTGAGCCAGCGAGTCGCCCTCACGGGGACGACGCACACACAGTTCAACAATGCGGGGTGGTGCAGACAACAGGTCGGGCCCGTGAGGGCAGAATCAGTAAGCATCGGATCGGGAAACAAGATCGACTCGAACTTTGCGTCAGCTCGGGCCGCATCGGCACAGAATCGTGATCGAATCGGGTCGGCCGAGCCAAGATGAACGAAGCGCCGTGCAATCGGAGGCCGACAAACCGTATGGTGACGGACCGCGTGGTGATCTCGGAATCCCCAACGACCTCACCGCACGGGTTTGAAACCTTGGAGGCCCCAGTCGCCCCAGACGTCCTCAGAAAACGACCCGAGTCCCAAACGCGTTCGTGCGGTGACCCCGAACCCCCACTGACTAACCACGCGGTGTGGTCACCACACCGTTGAGGGGCATCCCAGTGCAAGCATCGGGCCGCATCGGATCGCCAGAACGTCGGCATCGAATCGGACCGGGCGGGCCGAAAGCATCGAATCGCATCGACCAGATCGAGATGGACCCTGCGAGGGCGGCGGTCGTTTGGGACGCGGACCCTCGCATGGTGACCTTCTTGTTATGCAGAACTCTTCTCCCAAGCCTTTCCAGAAAACATGATGGCTCGCCATGTCCACCACCACCAGGGGGGGTGCCACCTCCAGCGAAGCGGTCCACGATGCCTCCCCGAGCTGGGGATGGTGGATGTCTCGAGCGGGAAGTGAGGGACCA